AGGCAGTCCCTCCTCCCCCTAATGCAAGCATTATTTGTTTGGTTTGGTTGTGTATACCTAGAATCTCCATTGTAGTTCCTTTTTTGGTTTAACCAATTATACATATTCAGGATTTTATAAGGTATCCCTGAAAAGGAACTACAATCGAGACTACAATGGAGACTACAGGTAACTTGGAGCCCTAGGCAAGGAAGTATAGCCTTGAGCCCTAAAGCAAAGCTTGAAACGTAAGTCTAGACCCTGAACTGTCAAAATTGCCCTTACTGTAGTTTAGGGTTTAGGGTTTAGGATTTAGGGTTTAGGGTTTAGGGGTAACCAACCAGAAAGCAATCTTCGGCGGTCTTATACAAGCAACATAAGTCCGGACCACGAACAAGAAAGGTAGCTGGCTTAGGGGTAAGGCAACCCTGCACCCCAAACCCTTTGGCTCCAGGTATCTAGACAGTATAGCATTAGGCTGTTTAGCCTACCTAGGTATATTATACAAGCCTAAGTTTGTAAGTATAGGACCCCTAAACCCTAAACCCCTAAACCCTGAACCCCAAACCCCTAACCCCTAAACCCTACCCATAGGCCCTAATGTAGTTCCCATTTGTGGTTTGTATTTAGGATCCTATTAGGTAATCCCAAAAAGGAACTACTATGGGGCCTATAAGCAAACCCTAACCCCTAAACCCCTAAACCCTAAACCCCAAACCCTAAACATGGATTTCCTGAATAAAAGCGCTCTGATCAGGTCTCCAGCCGGGCGAGGTTGTCCTGGACCCGATGTGCGGCACAGGTAGCGGGGCATTGCGGGTTCAATAGGGTCTACGGTTTAGGGTTTAGGGCTTAGGGTGTAGGGTTTAGGGTTTGGGGTTTAGGGGTTTAGGGTTTAGGGTTTAATAATGTTTAATATAGGAGCCTGATAATTAGAACAGGGTTTCGGGGTTCCTTTTAAGGGTTCGATAAGGGCTACTATAACGGTTTACGGTTTAGGGGCCTCAATCGTTAGAATACCCTATTCTATTGAGTAAGACCCCCCAAATTAGGGTTTGGGCTTCTGGTGCAGGGTTTGGGTTTAGGGTTTAGGGTTTAGGGTTTAGGGTTTAGGGTTTAGGGTGCAGGGTTTTGGGCATGGGCTTGGCTTGTTTTGCGATTCACAGTGGCCGGTCGCCCATCAGCAAGCCACTTTTCCCAAGCCCTTGAAACAATGAAGAAGAAGTTCCTAAACAGAGGGCTACATTCCTCAATGATGAGTACTTTTACTCAGTAGCATAAATCCTTGTTTTGTGGTCATACCTATACTCATATTTACTGTATAATTTAATATAACCCTAAACCATCCTAAGCCCTTAATCCTAAACTCGTATAGTGCTGCCATAGTTCGCAGTGCGGTATTCTATAGAGCTCGCCAGCTTCTTTCAGTTGGAAAGCAGAGCCCACCGTTTACGTTCGTAGGGTTTAGAGTTTCAGGTTTAGGCAAGTTTAGTGGCTAGTCTTCAGCCCCAAACACTATAACCGTGAAAACCAAATCCTAGACCTAACCCTAACGCGCCTAGGGTCCACGGAAAGGTCCTAAAGCCTAAACCCTACATACCGCAAAGTCCAAAAACCTAAAAGCCGCAAAGCCATAAGGAATCCCAAAATTACTGAACCCGGAGCCGTAAACCTCAACGTCCCAGACTCTGGGGACCGTAAATTACAGGCCCTATAAACCCCAAACCCTAAACCCTAAACCTAAACCCTAAACCTTAAACGGAAGGCCCTAAACCCCAAAGCCTGAACCCTAAACCCTAAACCCTAAACGGAAGGCCCTAAACCCCAAAGCCTGAACCCTAAACCCTAAACCCTAAACCTAAACCCTAAACCCTAAACGGAAGGCCCTAAACTCTAAACCCCAAAGCCTGCACCGAGTGTGTGCGTGGGGCTGAGCCAAAGCCGTGGAGGGCATCCAACTACCCAGCAGCCTGCAGAGTTTGACGTTTAGCTACGCGTTCAACCAGAGCTTGGAGGGCATCCAACTACCCAGCAGCCTGCAGAAATTGAAATTTGGTTTTCAGTTCAACCAGAGCTTGGAGCGCATCCAACTACCCAGCAGCCTGCAACATTTGACATTTGGTGACCAGTTCAACCAGAGATTGGAGGGCATCCAACTACCCCGCAGCCTGCAAAGTTTGACGTTTGGAGACGAGTTCAACCAGAGATTGAAGGGCATCCAACTGCCCAGCAGTCTGCAGAATTTGGAGCTGGGCCACAATTTCAACCAGAGCTTGGAGGGCATCCACCTAGCCGGCAGCCTGCAGAGTTTGACGTTTGGTGGTGCGTTCAACCAGAGCTTGGAGCGCATCCAACTACCCAGCAGCCTGCAACATTTGACATTTAATGGTCGGCAGTTCAACCAGAGATTGGAGGGCATCCAACTACCCAGCAGCCTGCAACATTTGACATTTGGTCGCCGGTTCAACCAGAGCCTGGAGGGCATCCAACTACCCAGCAGCCTGCAACATTTGACATTTGGTGACCAGTTCAACCAGAGCTTGGAGGGCATCCAGCTACCCCGCAGCCTGCAAAGTTTGACGTTTGGAGACAAGTTCAACCAGAGATTGAAGGGCATCCAACTGCCCAGCAGTCTGCAAAGTTTGACGTTTGGAGACGAGTACAACCAGAGCTTGGAGGGCATCCAGCTGCCCAGCAGTCTGCAGAATTTGGAGTTGGGCCACAATTTCAACCAGAGCTTGGAGGGCATCCAACTACCCAGCAGCCTGCAGAGTTTGACTTTTGGCTACCGGTTTAACCAGAGCCTGGACGGCATCCAACTACCCAGCAGCCTGCAGAGTTTGACGTTTGGTGGTGCGTTCAACCAGAGCTTGGAGGGCATCCAACTACCCAGCAGTCTGCGATTGTTTGTTTCACGCCATTTTCGTGTAGCCACGTGGTGAGGAGTGATGTGTTGGTTCCGCAACCGCAAAAAACATAATAAAATCAAGATTCTGAACAAAATCCAAAATAATAAAAAGAACTCAAAGCCCGAAGCCGTGAAGCCCTGAACCTTAAACCCAGGTATGCTTCTCACGGAAGCACCAAAAGGCGCCTTTGTCGCTGCTTTCCTGCCCTGACGATCCGATCTCTTTGGAGCTTTCAGGCTTTGGGCTTTTGGAGGGTTCGGGTTGGAATATACAGGTATAGGGTTTAGTCGGGATTTTGGTTTGGGGCTTCGGGTGATACAGTATTTCAGGATCGACGGCTTCGGGGTTCAAGGCTTGAGGTTTGGAGCTCAGTTTACCTGGGTTCGTATTGGGCTGGAGGCTCAGGTGCCTTCAGTGACTAGTTAGTTGTGTGTGTGTGTGTGTACGTGTGCGTTTCTGTTGTTCTTGAACATGTTGGTTGGTGTTGAGTAGTTGCTGTATGTTCGGGGTTGGGGGCTCACACAGGCTGTGGATATACAGAGGTAATAGCTAATAGCTTAAAACCTTCTACCTGTATTGGGCCTCTAAGGCGTACAAATCAGTCCATTTTCGCCAACTGGAAGACCCATGATACAAGACCCGCGCTGAGAGCTGCGGAGCATGCTGAATGGTACTGTAGCCCGAAGCCCTGTACGTGGAGAGGGGACTGTGTGGGACGAAAATTTGTTGTTTCAATCCCTTCGCTTCACGTCTTCAGCTGCAGTGGCGTGTGCGGTATTAATGCCTTCGGCAGGAAGATCCAAGTCCTTCCTGTATAGTTCCTTTTTTATTTAACCAATTATATATACTAAGAATTTTATAAAGTATCCCCAAAAAGGAACTACAATGGAGACTGCAGGTATGACATTATATGAGACATCAACTTATTGGTCGTTTGAAACCCTAAACCCTAAACCCTAAACCCTAATCCAACTGAGGTGGGATGCGACGTCGATGCCACCATGGTGCGCCGGGCTCTCGAGCACTTCCGCTCGCTTCGCCACCCGCGCTGGGCGCTGCTGCATGCAGACGCTGAGCGCCTCACGTCGGGAATCGCAGTTCGGACTTTGGCGGTGTGCCTTTACCCCCCTATAAACCCTAAACCCCTAAACCCCTAAACCCTAAACCCCAAACCCTAAATAAACCCCCCCTAAACCCTAAACCTTAAAAACAAAAAACCTAAACCCTAAACCTTGCCCAGAATCCCCAACTCCTGACTACAGCCTCTACCAAAGCCTGAGCCGGATTTAACCTACAAAACAGCGCGACCTCTTCAACATGAGAGGAAACAACCTTCAGCACCTTTACCAGTAAGCTACCGTAGACAACTGGACCCTGACTCCTTCACAACCTGAGAGCCTTGAACCAGGCCTCCCTCTGCCAGATGTTTTTGCAGACGTTGTCCTTTGCGACCTGCCCTTTGGAAGAACTTTGGCCGAATCGTTCAAGTTCCGGGATTCTGGCGTTGCACGGTTTAGGTTTTGACGGATTCAGGTTTTTGTCAGGGCCGTTAGGGTTTCAGGTGTTACGTTAAGACCAAATACTCTACCTTTGTATAAGGACTGATACAAAGCAATCGGAACCCGAAAAAGGTGGGTTATAACCCACTTTTTTCGGGTTCCGATTGCTTTGTGTCAGTCCTTATACAAAGGTAGAGTATTTGGTCTTATAGTTGGGGTCCAGGTATGGCTAAGTGCGCTCGTAGTGAGCAGTTTGGGGGCTGGAGGGTACGTAGCGAGGGGTCTTCTGCTGGCGACTAGGATCCTTGCTCGGGGTGCCCCTCCATTAACGACTTTAGGGCTTAGGGTTTATAGGCTTTCGGGGCTTGGTAGGCAGTGGAATGTATATGTATAACCCTACCATACTTAAACTAATCTGCTCAATGCTTGGCCCATCCTACGAGAGGTACTTTCAGTGGCATCCTAACCGGGAACGACCCCCCAAGTACATTGTTTGGTAGGCCAAAAACCCATACCTGTAGTCTCCATTGTAGTTCCTTTCTTGGGATACCTTATAAAATCCTTAACCAAAAAAAGGAAGTACAATGGAGACTATAGGTAGATGCCAACTGAGGACAGTTTGGTAGTGTGGAAGGCAACAAGGACCGCCCATTGTGTTTGTGTTCATGTGCCGTGGAGCTGAATTTCAGCACTATGAAGGCGTGAAGTGCTCAGGGTACTTGCAAGGCTCTGGAGGCCCGCAATGAAAGTTGTCCTAAACCCTCTCTATCTACTAACAAAGCCCTAAACCCTAAACCCTAAACCCCTAAACCATAAACCCTAAACCCTAAACCCTAAACCCTAAACCTAGCCTTAATGATCTTCGTGGGGAAAGGCTCGTTCCTTCGTGGGAAAGGCTAGGTTCCAGGGCAAGGCTGGGTTTAGGGTTTAGGGTTTAGGGTTTAGGGTTTAGGGTTTAGGGTTTAGGGTTAGGGTTTAGGGTTTAGGGTTTAGGGTTTAGGGTTTAGGGTTTAGGGTTTAGGTGGTCGAGGCTCGGTTCGAACTCTATGTTCCGAACAGCAAAAGACCAGGACCCTCCCCTCCAAGTACCCTCATAATAGAGGGTAGATGGTCCCAAATTCAGGGTATTTAGAGTCAAACAGAGGGTAGATGGAGGGTCTAGTGGGACTCTGTTTTCATTGTTGGGTTCCGTTTAGGGTTTCGTGCGGGGATTTGCTTAGGGTTCCTTTTAGGGTTCCGTTTAGGGTTCGTTGGGGTTTAGCAGTTTGTTTGCGGCTTATAAGGAAGATGATGAACTTTGTATGTTCTTAGTGTTTTGGGATTCTCTGGGCGCGTGGGTATTCTACCATGTTCCAAAGATACTGCTCGATCCGGAGCTGCTGAACCCCAAACAATGAACGCTAAGCCCTAAACCCTAAACCCTAAGCCCCAGGATAGTTATCCAAAGTTGCTGCGAGAATTCCGCCGCGTGTTGAAGCCCACTGGCCGTTGTGCCTCGGCAACTTCGGGTTTAGGTTTAGGGTTTAGGGTTTAGGGTGACTGAGGGGTGCGTTCTGGTCATCCGTTTTCGAGCCCCGAAACGACTTGAGTTTCAACTTCGAGGGATTCTGGGTTTTGGGAGGGTGTAGGTCTAAACTCTAAACCCTAGACCCTAAACCCTAGGTTAGTTCGTTTGTGATGACAATACCATCGCGTCCGAACTTCAAGGACTCTCATGTCCTTCTGTGAGCCCGGGAGGCGTGTGCTTCAAGCAGCCCTCTATAGTCCTTGAAGATCACGGTTTAAGGTTTAGGGTTTAGGGTTTAGGCTTTAAGAACTCGCTCTGAGCCTTTGGCTCCTTCCCCTCAGTCGTCCATCGCTCCTCCTGCCTGGCAGACTGAAGGGATGGAAAGCGAGGGCTGAATGAAGGGCATCAATTCCCAAACCCTCCATCTACCCTCTATTTGACTCTAAATACCCTGAATTTGGGACCAGATACCCCTATTTATTGAGGGTACTCGGAGGGTCCTCGAAGGGAGTTTCTCATGGCTTCCCCTAAACCCTAAAACCCTAAACCCTAAACCCTATAAGCCCTAAACCCCTAAACCCGAACCCCACTCGTCCGGCTGAGATTTCTGGACTTGCAAGGTTTTGGGGCTTCACCCTAAACCCTAAACCCTAAACCCTAAACCCCAGCCCTGCGAAACCCGAGCCGGGAGCTTCCGCAACCTAAACCCTCAGAACTCCTACATCCTAAACCCTCAAAGCGGTTTAGGGTTTAGGGTTTGCGAATGAAATCCTAAACGGTTTAGGGTTAAGGGGTTTATAGGGTTTAGGGTTTAGGGTAAACAACTCCATGATTTCCTAACGCCTATACACTCGGTTGTTTTAAGGGCTTTCTATGGGGATTCTACGGACCTGCGATATAGTATACCATGCCTGCGAGGCCGTGCAGCACAGAGCCCACTGAACCCCAAACCCCCCCAAAACCGCAACCTCCCTAAAAAAACGGGGCCTAAACAATTGCCTGTTTTTACTATTTTGGGGGGTTCCTTATTGTAATTACAGTGTAACATAGCCCAACACCCTATTCTAATTATTAAGGCCCCTACATGAGGCCTCCCTCCACCAGCAAGCCTGGGCTTGCAGATTCCCACCAAATCTTAAACCCTCAACCCTACCAGGAACCCCCTACACGTGCCCTTCAATAAAGAGCACCCCCGGTCCTTCATAGTGGGTATTTAGAGCACAATAAGGGGGTTTTGGAATAAACCGCTCGGAAGCAGAGGCTTCTTGCTGACTTCCGCTGAGAACGAGGCGATTCTGGCGAAGGCTCAGTCACTTAGTGGCGCAGGGTTCAGGTGTGATATAGGGGCCTCAGTAATTACCTACATTATTTTTTGCGGGGTTCCTCATACTATACAGGACCCCAAAATCCTATTCCAATTATTAAGGCCCTATAGTAGCTTGTGCTTTAAGGTTTGGCTTAGTGTAGAAACAACTTATGCTGTAAAGGTCGAGGGTTCAAGGCGCAACTAACTTAGGCTTGAAAGGTTCACGGCTTAGCGTAGAACCATCTTATGTACTATAAAGGTTGAGGGTGCGGGGGTACGACTAGCTTATACCTGAGAGGTTCAGTTCTTAGGGTAGAAGCAATGTAGACTAGAAAGGTTGAGGGTTTAGGGTTTAGGCAACTTCGACTTCCGTGATATAAACGTTTGGTATGAGTGTTTCGGTGTTACTACTACCTGTAGCCGAAAAAGCCTACCTGTTTGGGTTCCTTGTTATGATTTCTACATATAGTTCCTTAACAGGTAAGTCTCTTGGGCCACAGGGAAAACCTAGGGTTGGGAGGGGCGTACTGCAGCCTGCGTGCCTCGGTTTTGAAGAGAGCCCCACCCACCTCCCAATACTCCCTGGCTTGAACTTCCACCCTCCTTACAAGGGATACCCTTTCCCAAGTCTCTAAGGACTCATAAACTCATATTTTATGTTTAAGGCATTCTTGGACTCAAAGACTAAGACCATACTATATGACAGTTTTGGGGTTATTTTGAGCCCATTTTTTCATGGTGATGTCATGGAATGTGCTGTTATTGACCGCGGCATGGATGTGCGCCTAATGAAGGCGATGCATGTATGAGAGCTTTGTCTTCCCAAAGGGCCCTAAGTACCTAAAAAGAAGTTTGTAGGGATGCTATATTAGGAATTACTCTTACGATTTAGGGAAGCATCCCCCATAACAGTGGTTTGGAAGCAGGTTTTAACTTCTTTAGTCGAGAGGCCTAAGCCGATCAGAACATTTTCAGGAACAGCACCGTATGCGTGCTGTAATCTACCTGCAGGGTCATACCCTGCCCCTCTTGTAGGGTACCTACCTTTCTATCATAACAGATCCCCAAAAGGGATAGGGTATGACCTGCTAGGAAACCCTAAACCCTAAACCCTAAACCGCTAAACCCCTAAACCCTAAACCGTACTCTCAAGCCGCTTGTAGCAAAAGGCGGCCGAAGCTTGGACCACCATCGCCAGGGCGACGTGGAAGCTGGGCCGCTCTCTGGCAATGGGAGTGGGAGTTTACCAAAACCCTCCAAGCACCCTCAAATAGGGGTATATGGTCCCAACTTAAGGGTAGTTAGGGGTCTAGTAGAGGGTAGATGGAGGGTCTAGGTAGGTTCAGCTGTTTTTTTTCATGTCTTGTCCCGTCCTTCTTTCTTCGTTCTCCGGATCCAGATCAGGAGCCGAGTTGCTCATGGTTGCCACAGTTCCTCCCCTCCACTTCCTGCTCTCCCTCCATCTCAAGCCGAAATCCAATAGTCATGTAGGGCTTTTTTAAGGTGTAGGGCTTTAAGATTTAGGGTTTCACCCACAGCCGATAAAGATTTCAATAGAACAAAAGCCATGCGCGGCAACCTCGAACCACAAGCCATGTCCGCAAGTGCCAGACAGTACATCCGAAGCCCTGAAAATAGGGGCTTAAAAAATTACCTATACTATTTTGGGGGATTCCTTATTATAACTATAGTATAATGGGCCCCAAAACCCTATTCTCATTTTAAAGGCCCCCACGTTCTGCGTTTGGGTTCAATTCAGCGAGATTCAGCGCTTAGTGGCCTGAGCATTATAAGGTTTTAGGTTGTGGGCTTGAGGCAACAAGCTCCCCGCGATTGTTGCTTGGGCTGCAGACCAGGAAACACGTGCTTTGGCGATTACTTTCTCATCTGCAACAATTTACAAGGCATATGTTTGCTGCACCTACTTACTTGTGCTGGTTGCCTCTCATTTCGCTGTCGCAAACGCAAACTCTGTACATGCATGCGAATATACTGATGGCATGTGCGCATGTAAAAATACGGTATGTGCATACAGCTGATATGCACCTGCGCATGCGTGCAAACATGCTTGCTTCCCTACATGCATACAGCATAGGAACACAAGTACATACATGACTCGGCACCTAATACAGACACACCGACAGCGAGACAGACGGACGGACGGGCAGACAGAGACTGACAGACAGACAGACAGACAGACAGACAGACAGACAGACAGACAGACAGACAGACAGACAGACAGACAGACAGACAGACGTAGGTACAAACATATTACATACGTATACATATACATACACACGCATACATACATATGTACATACATATGTGCGTACATGCATGCCTACACTCACGCATGTTGTTGTGTGCAACAGGTTGCTTGGTTGGTTCCGTATGTACGTGCGAGCTTTCGACGCTTTGATCAGGTTGTGCTCTTACCTTGACAACCCTATGGTAGCA